TTTCATCCTTTTTATTCTTGTACTCTTCATAAGTAAACCACTCATTTTTGGGCTTTTTCAAATCTTCATCAAATCGATCACTACTTGAGTAGAAAACTTGTGCTTTTCGGTTACCATTCTCATCCAAATTGCAATCCTTCATTAAATGTGGCCCGCTACAATTATTACACCCGACTCTTATTGCATAGATAGATTGATCCATCTTCGTCATCGTCCGCTCCATATTTTCTAATTTTTTCAAAACCGCATCTATGTACCCGTTCCCCCATCTCCTTTACCTCTAGTAACATCTTCTCGTGGGTTATGATAGTCGCGTGAGTGCTTTGCAAATGATTCAATCAACTCTTTAATTGTTGTCGGCTCTTTCTTCGTCATTGGTCCTTGAGAGTCAAGAAGTTGTCTGGTTGTGACATTCACTCCATCATAGAAAATTAACAATTCTTGTTGGACATTTAGATCATGTTGAGGAAAACTCCTAAGCAACCCTTTGATCCGGGCACGACTGATTTCAACCAAACTTTAGCTTCACTGATAAATGTCATCGGAAGCATCCTAAGTAGTATTGACTCTCGTGGCACGTTTGGAACATTGATGTAGTTTGCAATGTCTTTTACTTCATCAATGTGCTTGATTGTATCTTCGTATTCTTTTTTCCGGAAAAAGGTATGTCTTTAAGCATCGATACAATGTGCCCCTTCAGTTCAAAACTTCTTTCAGCTGGAATCTCGGGCGGTACAAGCCCTGATCCATTATCCTCACGTATCCTCTTCTTGTAATCTCCCATAGTTATTCTCATGATGTCAACCATCTCTTCAACCTCGCTGTTTATGTCGTCATCCGAATCACTTTCTGTTCCTGCCTCATAACCAATTCCCTTATCAGGTGTCCTATCGAAACTTTCAAAAGCCTTGTCCGATTGAAAACTGCTAGTTGGCTCGTTGACCTTCTTGTCCTTCTTTTTATGAAAATCTGATTATGGATCTTACAGGGGTGGAACTATTGGAGTTTTAGATCCTCGGGTCATAAATTACTGAAATAAAAAAAAACAAAACAAAAACACATAAAACGAATAAAAATTACTAAACTAAAAATTGACTGAGATATGACCGCGATGGGGCCATAATAACCACGACTTGGTGCAGCTCAGAGAGAAAAAAATAAAAGCAGAAAAATAACTTTTTGCGGTTTCAACCCCACAAAAAAGATCGAATAACTAAAAGCAATTAAATTATAAATCAAATAAGACGTTCTCCGGCAACGACAACAAAAACTTGATACGTACATAAAAGTACCTACTTTTTTAAAAATTTTAACCTAACTGACTTAACTAAATTATGCACCTATAAGGCAGTGTACCTAGCCAGATTATAGAATAGCTTGGGTAAGTCGGGTGTCAAACACAGAGAATTGAATTTAATTAATTAATCTAACTACTTCTAATTAAATTATGAAACAAACTTAAGTGGGGGGTTCTTACTGATTTTGCAAGACCATAAGAACTTAATTCAAATTACTATCAACTAAACAATTAATAAGGAAACAAAGAAAACAAATTTACTTCAAGATTAAGAGAGTACTTCTGCTTAGATCCGATTTCACATTCTCCTATGGTTGATTTCTAGTGGATAGCATATATTGATTACCAATTTGTTAACTAGCTATTATGATCAAATATCTAGACTTATCAATTTATGAATTACCATGCAATGATCAAACACAAGTTAAACACCAAATCGATAATGGACACAAATTGGACTATGAATGATAGTAGTTACTTTCCTATGATCAAGTTAAGCAACCAAGCATAAATTAAGATTAATTATGCTCTCTAACATAGAACTGTTACTAGCTTTAATTACTTTATCTAAGATGTGATTAATCCTAGCTATAATTATTTAATGATCATAAACAATTAGGTGACAAATTCATGCAATTAGAATAATCAACTATCACACAGAATCTGATTTTTAAACAACATAAACTAGAACTAGAACATGCTAGGGTTTAATTATCAAACACAAGCAAAATCAATATCTAATATCCATAAATCGAAATCAACAGTATAGGATCAGGTTCATCTTCACCAAACAGAAGTATAATGTTTTTAGCCTCTCATAGTCGTAGAAAAACACACAAAATTCATGAAAACTAGATTAGACATGAGTATAATTAGCAAACTGAATGATCTAGGTAGAATTGTTCTAAATCTTCTTCAACTCTTTAGTTCTAATTGATTTTCGATCTTCTTCCGAGTTTCCAAGGGTTTTTGGTCGCAAATCTCTTCAGAAAATCGGCTAGAAGTCTCCACATTCAGCTAATGTTCGGGTATTTATAGCTTTCATATAATGGATCACCACTCTGTGGTTGAGAGTCACCACGTCGTGGTCTTCGTGTATATCATGTATTCTCCAAGTCAGCTTATTGGTCAAGAATCTTCCGTTTGCCACGTCGTGTTGGAGGATCACCACGACTTGGTCTTCTATCTTCGAGTCTTCTTTTTCTTCTTCTTGTCCTAGCTCCCATTTTCCTGCTTCCAGCTCCTTATTTCCTTCCTTTTTGTCTCGAGCATGTGTTTGCAACTACAAAACAGATTTGAAACATAATAATTACCTTTTGTCCAAAACTAAGCATGATTGTAGCTAAAAGTATTAGAAATATGCATGAAATACATGATTAAATATACACATATAACAGGCACAAAAGGGGCTACGCGATGCGTAGCTAAAACTACGCCCCATGTTGTATGCTCATGCTCTATTTTTTCCATTTATTGCTTAATATAGGAAGTTGACCCTCCGAACTTCCAGATCTATACGAGTTGGACATCTTAATGGATAAAGTTTCTGACTTTATCCATCTGCATGCATACCAAGAGCATTAATCCAAACCCTAGATCCAAAAAGCCATTTATTGCACAAAAGCTTTTACATGTATGGATGAGAGTGACCAAGCCCTCATTTTTAACCTAACAACCTAAAAAACGTATGGAAATGGTACTCTAATGGTCTAGAGTAGCTCTTACTCATATACACCATGGATATGGGAAAAAATCATGAAACTCTTAGCATAACTAGATCTAATCCTAAAACGACGTCAAGGTAGGAACTTTATACCTTATGGAGAATGATTATGAGATGCAAATTCCAGATCCACAAAGCTTGGAGCTTCCCAAGTGCTTCCCAATGAAGTTCTTCCTTCACAAAGACACACCAAACACTCAAAGGTTGCAAAAGCTCACACAAGAAGATTATGGTTTCAAGGTGGCTGCTTAAAGGGGGTGGAGGTTGAGAATGGAAGACCTTAAGGGAGTTAGAGCCTTTAAACAGGGCACAAACCCCTTAATATTAGGGTTTTGGTCATGGGCAGCTACACGCTGTGTAGCTTGATCTACGCCATGCGTAGATCATTAAACCCTCGCATCAAGATTCCATCCTATACACTACGTAGGAGATTACCCTACACCCCGCGTAGGATCAAACTCTCCAAACTTTACATTTTTAAAATACATAAATAAATTTACCTGCAAGGACCGGGTGTTACAAGACATTATCAGAGCTAGACGACCCATGGAAGCACTATTTGGAGGGGCAAAATTATTATCAGTAAAATTAATTTAGACCCAAATCTATACCATATCTCACGTATTAGGAACCGGTAAGTTAGTAAACAAGAGGCAAGGTGTTAGCCTAAATCTAAGGTGGCAACCCATAAAATCAAGAGAATAGTGTGTTTTCATCGAAGACGAGGAGTCAACAAACTTTTAGGGTTTAGACGATAATCACGCATGTGTGACAGGTTGCAACCACAAGATGATGAACTCAGCTCTTTCAATCAGAGCTTGTATTTAAAATAAAATAAAAGGGAAATATGCATGATTAATTATTAACAAGAAATAAATGAACATATGTTAAAATAAACTATGGAAAAAAAAAGTAAATAAGATGCAACTATCAATTCTAAATAGTAAAACTACTAGGAACAAGTGAGGTGAACCGATATTTTTCTTTTTCTTTTAAAGTAAACGAAAATAAATGAAGTCTATTAGTTCCTGATAGTGTATTAGCTTAAACATAAAACATAAAATAAATACTTGCAATATGATGTAGAATTGTAGAAAAATAAACATTCAAATGTTTGCGTTAATGTCCTAAGACAGAAATCCGTCCGTACTCATGCAATAGTTCATTAACGTTTGAATTTAGGATAATATTATCTATAATTAAGTTCAGGAACTTAATTTCAACGAATCTAGTGAATGTTTTCATAGGAAAAGCAAGGTGATTTGAAGTGGTGTTAATGGTGCAAGTGTTCTTATAGATCCTCAAAATAGCAACTGTTAGTTTCAATACACTTCGTATGTTCAAAATCCCAACCTTATTTGAATTACCTTAGTATATTGTTGCTAATAGCCAACTAGTAAACCAAAGCCATTAATCCAATGATTGTCTAAATTTAGGATACAGCTATCAATAATTAACATGCTCTAGAACTTCGTTTCTACAAATCTAGTGAATGCTTTCATAGGAAAAAACAATAGGATTTGAAATGCTATGGATGGTGCAAGTGTTCTTAACTTCTTATAGACCCTCAAAATAGCAATTGTTTTTCAACTTTCAAACAGTCATACTCATACGTTCAAAAAACCAACCTTATCCGAATTACCTTAATATATTATTGCCAGTAGAAAACTAGAAACCCAAAGCCATTAATCCAATGTCGAGCCCATCTTAGTTTCTTAGCCCATGTTAAATGGGTGAGGTAAAGCCTTATAAGGCTATAAAACATTCATATTCCCACCTATGTTGGATAACCTTCACGCCTACTAAAATTAACAAAAACTCCAACAAGGATTTCATCACAAATGGGCTACCAAGACATCTATTCCTCGACTTCATATCCAATCTAAGCTTCAGATCTACGATGTGTGATAGAGAATTTACTCAAGATTCGCCACATAGTTGGAATAAATTATGATACAATATTGTATAGATAGAGATTTTGTAAGCTAGGAAACAAGATATCCTCTTATTTGTTAGGATTGTAATCTTCTATATTTAAGATCATGAATTAGAAGGTAAAGACAAGGATATTAATACACAACAAATATAATCAAGAAACAAGTTAGTTGCTACTTATAACCACAACTTTTCTACAGTTTGGGCAGGCCCCACAAACCTCAACCCAAGGAAACAAACAGCAGGAGTGGAATCTGTGCATGCAAGGGAGGTTTATCAGTTCATCACCTTCCTCAAAACCTTCAAGACAAATACTACACTCCCTTGATGCACTTGAGCTTTCATTAATTTTTTCATCATATTTGTAAACCTTTATCAATAAGCAGTTTAAGGCATCTTGAGAAAGTCCAGGGGTAAGTATTCTTGTTGATGATGGCATTGCTATTACTCCCGAAACTGGTTCATCAATGAAGCTATTGTAGACATTGTACAATAAGTCATCATCTTCATGAAGGCTGGATGAAGACCTACTGTATCCCAAGATAAAAAATTAAGTCTGAATCTGATTCATGATCAGGAACTGAATCCACCCAATTAAGAAAGATTACCTGTTTTCTGAAACATGGACACCTCTCAATCTTTCGAGGAGTCTTTCCCTTGCAAGTAACACAACTCCTGGAAGCCTATCGTTTTCAGTGGTGCCCCATCTGCGTATGCTTCTGAAATCTTCTGAATTGATGATGCTTCCAGATGGTGAGTGATCATGACTACCACCTGCTTCCAGCTGAACTAGCTCCTATTCATGGGGATGATCATAAAGCATGGAATTATGACTAATTTGAGTAATTTCAATGAAAAATAAATAAATCCTAAACCCTAGAAGCAAGAAAAGAGATCAGATCAACAAAACCTCATGTCTGCCTATCAAATTTTAAATTTAACGTATACCTAAAATTGATGTTGTTTTGGACATAATTTACAGTCAGGGTCCGTTCAAATCACATATCAAAGAGAATTTTGGTTGTACCGAGTGGCGATGACGGTGTATACGCCGAGAGGGAGTGTCAGAGCCTTCGAGATTCCGGCGATTGTGATGCCGGCGATTTGTGATGTGGCGGGAGGAATTTCCTTTAGCTGGTGAGGAATCTGAGTCTTTGTCGTCGACGGCGTTGTTGTGAACACCAAACCGAATCCTTCTGTTGTGAAATAACTTGGAAGCACTCGTCATTCAACAGTATCCACGAAAAAACCCTGATTACAACTAGATTTGCAATCAGTTTAAGAAATATCACGACAAATTAGTGAATTACACAGACATGATAAAGATTATGTTTTGGGTGTGATGAATCAGTGTGTAAGTTGTAACAAAAGTAAAAGATGGAAAAAGGTGATGCCTTTTTGAATTTGGTAAAGGTAATCCGTGGAACATTGATTTCACGTGGAAGATGTAAGAAAATTAAATTTGCTGTTTGACTTTTTGGTTTTTACCCAACTGCTCCACCGAACAAGATAAAGTGGCGGCTATCGAAGTATGGAACATTGTCTGCTGGGCTTTTTGAATTGCAATAGCCCAGTATTCAATTTTGTTTTCGAAAACAACAAAAAAGAAACAAAAAAAATCAATAATACACACGAGGACACACATATAGAAGAGGGATTCGATAAAACCAAACACCTCAAATTTGCATGTTTTTAAGCACATTTTGGTGCTGTTTTTTTAAGGACATTTTGGTGCTGTTATTTTTAAAGGGTAAAACGTTTATAATCTATAAAAAAAAAGTTGGATGAATTGTGTACCGGTTGTTTTCTAATATCTACAAAGCTAAAATAAATTAAAATAAACTGATTTTTTTAACTTAAAAGAGTTTTTCAACACTTAAATTTAATTTAAGTATTTTAGTTTTACAACATTGAAATATAATTTATATAATCACAATAATATTTTTTTTTAAATTATTGATTCCATATTTTTTATTATTTTTTATTAACAGTTCAATAATTTCGTAACTGAATCGTATATTTATACTCATTTATTATACCAACCATAAAAAGTAAGAAAAACATGCAAATTTATGGAATCTCGCTAAATAAAATATTGTTATGGAAATTTAATATGATCTACTATTTAACATTTGGTTAATAGGGATGGTTAGAATAAGAATATAAAAATGTTAAAATTGTAAGAACTAACTATATATATAACACTGGATTTTGGTTCTTCTTTTCTTGTCTTTGTGAATTTGAAGGTGGATGGAAATCCAACGAGCCTATAACACTGGGATTTGCTATGGCCTGTTTTCTTACAGTGAGCACATGTAAGAGATTTCTTTGAAGAATGAAATTGCGATTCTATAGTAGCAACCATAGCAATTGCATCATTGTTGATTGCGGGAGAAGTATGAATATCTCGTTGTCTTTCTTCTTGGATGATCAATGAATAAGCAGTGGACAAACTTGGCAAAGGCTTCATCATCAAGATTTGACCTCTTATAATTTTGTAAGATTCATTCAATCCCATAAGTAACTGAATGAGTCTTTGATCTTCGAGATATTTTTGGATTTTACCGGACGCACCACAAGAACAAGTAGGAATCTCTTGAACAACACGTAATTCATCCCAAATTTTTGTTAATTTGGTAAAGTAGGTTGAGAATTCATCAGAATTTTGAGAAATCGAATACAACTGCTGTTGAATTTGATAAATGAGAGCACCGTTTGATTGTTCATACCTCTGATGTAACTTAGACCAAATTTCTTTCGCAGTTAGGAGAAATAGAACACTCTCTGCGATTTCCTTGTGAAGAGAGTTAAGAAGCCAGCTTATCACCATTGAATTAACACGAGACCACTTTGGAAACATTGGGGAATTTTCTGATGGTGGTGGAAGAGATCCATCAACAAATTGAAGCTTATTCTTTGCTGATAGAGACAAAATCATAGATCGTTTCCAAGTAGCAAATCCAACTCCAGTGAAAATGGTAGAAACAAGGTAATAAGGGCTAGAAATGTCGATTGTTGAAGATTCAATCGGAATCTGTGGTGCAGCCATTGCAAAAAAAAATGATCGAAAAACAGAGATTGAAATGATTCGCGGAAGACGTTCACAAGATCAAGCTGAAACCATGTAGAATTTCATGATGAAGAAAGATGAAGAAAAGAATGAATCTAAGAGAAGAATGTTTTCCATTAATTCTCACAAATGAAAGAGATACAATCTATATACAGAAGGGAAAGACATTACAGAGCACAAACAAACTTAGCTAACTTCTAACTACCAAATTAATTAAATTACAATGTTATCCCTGTTTATGTAAAAAATAACGAAACTACCCTTGTGATCATTTAGAAGCATTATGCTGACATTTAATAACTTAGGTTTTTCTTTTCTTTTTTTTTATGAAAAAAAATATATCATTCAATAAGACAATCAAACTCTTACATCAAGAGCTAATATTCCTTTTTAATAATTATATATCGATATTAAAAAACTTTAAATACAACAAAATTATATTACCAATACATGAACAATTTTTTTTCTTAAAATATATAAATATTGGAATTTATCTGGAAAAAGAGAATATTTATGTAAAAACAACAAATTATCCAATTTTTTAAATTAAATAGTATAATAAGAAATGACCGTGTATTAAACTATTAATATCTTTATCTAGAAAAAGAGAATACTTATGTTAAAAAACAAAATTATCCGAAAGAATTTTGTAACTAAATAGTAGAAAAAGAAATGATGGTTTTGGTGGAGCTCGGTGTTTGCCGACGTCTTCTTAGTGTTCACCGGGCCACCAACTTGACACGGGCCACCAACTTGACATGTCGATTTCGATGACCAAACTCGGTAAGGGTTAGCTGATGAGAGAGAAATTGACATATTTTTCTTTTTATTTTTTTTTATTTTTTACCAATTACAATTTCAAAAAACACTTTTTTCAAAAAAAAATAATAATAATCATTTTCAAAATATAACTGTTTTTTTTTTCTCAAATTTTCAAATTTAAACCTTCTATCATCTACTATAAATAATAATATAGTTCTTCATTTTCACCACATTCAATCCTTCTTAAATTCAACTCTACTAACCTTTCTATTTTGGAAAAACTGCAAAAAATAATTACATATTGACTTCATAATCGATTCAGTCATTATATCTTTTTTTATTCAATTAAGTCCCAAAAACCGGTAATCGTATTCAATTTAACCCTTTTACCCGGTTAACGGGTCATCCAACTTTCAGAAATTACACTTTTGGCCTAGATTTCAAATTTTATTACAAATTTGGTCCAATATTTACAAATTTGGTCCAAATTTTATATTTATTACAAATTTGGTCCAAAATTTACCATTTTGGCCTATATTTCAGAATTTTGTTTTGAATTCATCATAACTTTAGTTTTTTTACAACATTTATTTCTAAAACAAAATTTGAATATGTTTTTTCTTTAGAAAATCATATTTATACAAAAAAATGAACATATTTTCACGTAAAAAAACTTATATTTTCTGTATAATAACTTTTTAAAAAAAACTTTTTTCTATACGAAATACCTATTTATAAAAATAGGTATTTATTAATTACATAAACATATACAAATCCGTTTTTATATAAAAAATATATACATACACATATTTTACAAAAAAAAATCTATACAAACACATATTTTACAAAAAAAATCTATACAAACACATATTTATAAAAAAATATATACACACACTTATTTCATAGTAAATATATATATATATATACACACACACACACACACAAGCATTTTACTCGCGTCAAACGATGGGTGTGAATAGTTTCTTTCGGTATTATTTCTATTTGGCAACAATTATAAATATGTTTTTACAAAACATATTTATAATAAAATAGATGATAGTATGTTTTTTTTTTGTAAAGTACATGTTTGTATATCTTTTTATAATAGTGGATTTCTATATATTTATGTACTTCATAAATACCTATTTATATAAATCGATATTTCTTATACAATTTTTTTTAAAAAAAAAATTATATACAAAATATATGATTTTTTATGTAAAAATATGTTTTTTTTGTATAAATATGCTATATAAAGAAAAAACATATTTGATTTTTTTTGAGAAAAAAGTTGTAAAAAATACTACAGTTAGGATGAATTCATAACATAATTGTAAAATCTTGGCCAAAAGGGTAAATTTTGGACTAAATTTGTAATAAAATTTAAAATTCGGGTCAAAAATGTAAATTTTGGAACAAATTTATAATAAAATTTAAAATTTGGGTCAAAAGTGTAAGTTTTGAAAGTTGGATAACCTGTTGACCGGATAAAATGATTAAACTGAATACGATTACCAATTTTTTGGACTTAACTGAATAAAAAAAATATAATGACTAAATCGATTATACGACCAATATATAAGGATTTCTTTTGCAGTTTTCCCTTTTTATTTTACATCTTCTTCAGAACCTCATTGCTAAAAAATGACTCGTGTTTGGTCAACTGATAAGGAGATCATATTGCCTCGTTCATGGGTTGATGTAATAGAAGATGCAATCAACATTAACGTCACTATGACTACTATATGGAGGAGAGTTGCCAAAAAATACAACTATAAAGTCAATCTACCTCGAAGTAAATATGAAGTCTTCTCCAAATGGATATATGCAAATGCAGTTTCTATTCACTTTAACAATGTGTTTCTTAGGATGATGCGTGAAGCCGAGCATGGTGAAAATGAAAATAATTTGTTAGTGAATGTTCTTGAGGCTTTCTGCGAAGAAACTAACAACCTTTACGGCTTGTTGAGTTTTGGCAAATTGTGACGCAGTGCGAAAAATGGCGTCAACTTTAAACTCGTTGTCTTTTAGTTTCTAGTCGCTTGTGTGTTTTAATTTGTAGTTGTCTTATGTTGTATTTTAGTTTCAAGTGTGTTATGTTTTTGTAACATTTTGTGATTTTCTTTCAAGTTAATGAAATTTAAGTTTTTATTAAAATAATTTGTTTAAATTGATTTTTATATAAATTAAATTTTTAAAAAATAGCATGGCAAAACAAACTTTAAGAATAGGTAAGAGGAAACTAGAAAACATATGTTCACATCTGCGCCACGAGGAGGATGTACATACCTTTTTAGGTATATAGTTTTCTAAAAAATAAAATGTCTACGAGACCAAACGTCTGTATGTTGTCTGTCCGGTGCATACATAAAAGGTTAGGAAGAAGTTTTGCAAAAAAACAAACACCACCTTTATGCACGGCGCAGACAACGTTTCAAAAACCTTAATTTTGCTCTTTAAATGTTCTATTTATTTCAATATGTGTATAAAATGACATGAAATACAAATGAGGTACAAGGCAACTTGAGCAAGCACCTTCATGGGCTATTGCTAAGGTT